GATGAACACACACACACACACACACACACACACACACAGTCACTGCCTATCACTGCCCAGGTGTTACATCCTGCCCTACATGTTTTACAAATGCTTTGTGAAACCAGATACACCTAATGCATCCAATGTCAGGAGCAAGGAGTAGAGAAATTGCAAGAATATCCAAACAGCTAATAAACAATCAGAAAAAAAAAAAAAAAAAAAAAAAAAAAAAAAAAAAAAAAAAAAGGAAATGCAAACCATGATACCTACCAGAGTAGCAAACATTGTTTTAAACTGATGCCAAATGTTGTCAAGGATATAGAGAAAGCAGAACATTCATACAACTGTTGGTGGGAGTGCCAGTTGGTACACTTGTTTGCGAATGTATTTAGAAGAATTAAAGTTGAACACAAGCATATCCCTGACCAAACCCAAACAACTCCACTTCCAGTATATGGAGAAAGACATGTACAAGTATGATCATAATAGTCTGATGAGGAGCTCTGACTTCCCAACATAGTATTCCCAAGAACACATAGTGAAGGATTTTCATTGAGGGGCCATGTTGGAATGCTCGTTTTATGTGGATCGTGACCGGTACTACATGGCTGAAAAGTCTCCTTAAAGGAACTATGCTGGGCACTCTGAATTTGTTGTGTCCAAAGCAGAATTTCAAAGACAAGAAAAATCAACCAGATAGAACTAGAAATGTGATTAAAGATCTCCAATTCAAAACACCCCAATACAGTTTTAAAGAACAGGTAATTGCAACACAAGTATATATATATACATATACATATATATATCTTAAAAATAACACTATTATGTAATCTCACTCATAAGATGTCAATATTCTAAGTGGGAGCAAATGAAATCCAGCAGTGCATCAAAATACATACAAAATATATATCAAAGTAAAATAAATATATCAAATAAAATACATCAAAATATATACACAATTAACCTGGGTTTATCCGGGAATGGGAAAAAGATTCAAGAGAATCTGTCAATATAAACTATCATGTTAACAAATTAAATACTATACATTGCAGGAAGGGAGGATGAAATGACATTTGGTAAGACTCGGGAGCCATTTCGACTTAGCTACAACAAAGAGTTTTACTCACGAGTAAGAGAAAACATTAGAAGGCAATTGTTTGAGAGCATGATGCCAACTGCCCGTTCCCTCATAGCTCCCAGGCAGGTTTGGTGACCGAAACGCCCAACTTTAGGGCCTCTAGTTATGGCAGCATTTGCCAATGCAGTTTCATATCCCTAAGATGGAAATACGTAATGGGAATCTGTATTTCCATGGCACAGTTTGAGATACACCAACTTAAAGGAAGTTGAACAACTTTCTTCACTAGAATACTCGTTAGTTTTCCAATAAATTGATACGGTGCGTTTGATTTTTCCTTGAGAGATTTAGTAAGTGCTACTTCATAAGCTTCTTTAACCAGGGATTCCCACGACTTCTCAAGCACTATTCAGTACTGGTAATTTTTGACACATAACTTCAGAAGTTCTGGGACAATTTTAGTGGTATAAATGGTTTCTGTATATTGGCTTAGGGTTTGTTATTTTGATGGCTTCTTAGTTCAGTGTGACAGGGACCATGTAGATACTGGGGAAAACAAGGCATAGGTCTGGCCCTCCATTTGGCCAGATGCATCTTGGTTTTCTCCAAGACACTTTAAAAGGCATTTTCCAAGGAACAGAGCTTCAGGCACATTCTACAAGTTCTGATACACAATTTCATCATCACTTTTCGAACAACCTATAATTGTTTCAATTTTCTATTTAATTCAGAACTTATATATACATATGATAGGACTACATTTTCAAAAGTAGTTGGCCAAGTAGTTGTATAATGGACCTTTATGATGGGGAGCTCTAGCAGTCACCATCGGAATCAAATGAGCAAACTTAGTTTTGGCAAGTGTCTCTGGTGTGTTGCAATATGAAGTACCTATCACCACTTAGGATGTATTTGGCCAAAAATGTTTAAGCTTCTGGCTCTAACTTGACTTTATCAGAGATACAAAGGACAGAGGGAAGAAACAAATCTAGAATGCATGGGATTCTACAAACCAGCTTTCCTTAATTTTCAAAAAGTCTGTTCAAGGGGGTGCCTGGATGGTCCAGTCGGTTAGGCATCCGACTTCAGCTCAGGTCATGATCTCACGATTTGTGAGTTTGAGCCCTGTGTCAGGTTCTGTGCTGACAGCGTGGAGCCTGGAGCCTGCTTTGGATTCTGTGTCTCCCTCTCTCTCAAAAATAAATGTTAAAAAAATTTTTTTAAGTCTGTTCAAGATTAAAATCTAGAGACATGAAAACCAAATGCAATGCATGAATATAGACGAGATGCTCATTAGAAAATACAAAGCAGAGGGGTGCCTGGGTGGCGCAGTCGGTTGAGCGTCCGACTTCAGCTCAGGTCATGATCTCACAGTTCGTGAGTTCGAGTCCCGTGTCAGGCTCTGTGCTGACAGCTCAGGGCCTGGAGCCTGCTTCAGATTCTGTGTCTTCCTCTCTCTGTCCCTTCCCCACTCATGCTCGGTCTCCCTCTGTCTCTCAAAAATGAATAAATGTTAAAAAATAAAAATAAAAAATAAAATAAAAAGAAAATACAAAGCAATAGGGTAGCTTGGGAGTACTGGGACATATAAAGTTAATATAAAAGAATATTACAGAATTATTGATAATTTTCCTGTATGACCATGGTCTTAAAGGCTGTGCTTATTCTTTAAAAATCTTTTTTGAGAAGCACGAGCAGTGGAGGAGCAGAGGAAGAGGGAGAAAATCTCAAACAAGCTCCACACTCAACATGGAGCATGACACGGGGCTCAATCTCACAACCATGAGATCATGACCTGAGCCAAAATCAAGAGCTGGACACTTAACTGACCAGCCACCCAGGCACCCCAAGACTGTTCTTATTCTTAAAAGATGCACGCTAATATGTTCAGGAAGGAAGTGTCATAATTTCTACATCGTAAGTCAAATGACATGAGTATACATACACGTATGTACGTATAAATTCATAGAGAAAACAAATATGACCAAATGTTAACAATTATTGATTCTAAATAGAATATATGGATATTATACTATTCTTTAAGTTTTTCAGAGTGTCTGAAATTTGTCCTAATATCTGGGGAAAGAATTCCCAAATGCACAACTTTTTCTTTTTAATTTGTAATTTATCTTGAAATATGAACAGAGAATTTTAACTACTGGCTACCTCTCTGTTGGGATTCATTACAGGCAAATTGCTTTACACCCCCTGCGCTTCAAGAGGTACATTCCCAACATCTTAACGCTTTCTAAATCCACATTTCTTTTCAGCCTTCATTTTTTATGCAGCTTAAGGGATAAACTGAATAAAAACCCTTTCGAGTTGTTTTTCTAAATTGTATCCATAATGGACTGTCTGAAATGTAGATGAATGAGTGGTTATGAAAGCTTTTCTAAATTCATTACACCAATGAGCATTCTCTTCCCAAGAATTCACTGTAGTAATACTAATGATGAGGATAATAAGAACAATAGCAAGTTTGTATTGAGCATACGCTACATACCCAGATATTCTTCCAAAGATCAGATGCATACTAAATCTGCCCAATCTCTGCAACAGGACAGAAAGTTTCTATCACTAGCATTTTAAAGATGATGCCCAGAGGAGAGGAGCATTTGGCCCGACATCCCAAAGGTAGTAAGGAAGTGGAATTGTGATGACACGGAGTATGGTTTGTGCCATGAGGGAGGGATTTCCTACATTAATAGGGTTATTCCCTAGGAGGAATTCACTTAAGTTTTATAAAGATTGGATAGGGGCACCTGGGTGGCTCAGTCGTTTGAGCGCAGACTTCGGCTCAGGTCATGATCTCGTAGTTCCTGAGTTCGAGCCCCACGTCGGGCTCTGTGCTGACGGCTCGGAGCCTGGAGCCTGCTTCGGATTCTGTGTCTCCCTCTCTCTCCCTCCCCCACTCGTGCTCTGCTCTCTCTCTCAAAAATAAAATAAACTTAAAAAAAAAAAAGATCAGGTAGTGTTAGAACGTTTCTATACCTTCATTAAACGAACATGTTTATTGTAAATTCTCTATGCTTTTATAAGCATAAGGAAGTTGTGTCTCACATTAGCCAAATCATCCTATAGTGTGAATATTCTGCCATTCTAATCAGAGAGGTGACAGTGAGGGGTTTCTTATTCTAATTAAATCGTCTTGTGACTTGTGTCATGTTCTTGAAACTGTGAATGTTGTCTCTCACATCATTTCTGGAAAAGGGCAAACTTAATTTCTAATCATTCATAAAGTGGTTGATACTTTTATAAAATATAATTTTATGGCAGTAACAAATTGCTATAAAAGTTTCCAAACGTTTACTCTCGCTTTCTGCATTCATCTCATGATGGACAGGTAACAATTTTGTGGACTGGCAGTAGGCTCTAGACAAGTTTTAGTAGTACTTCTCTAAGGGCCTTCCTACATCCTAATTTAAAGGGTTTCTCACTTGGATGAAGTCTATGACGTACCCTGAGATACTTATCACATCTCTAAGTCTCCCCACATTCCTTACATTCATAATATTTCACAGCAGTATGAGTTCTCTAATGTGCAGAGCAAAAACTGAATTACGATTAGGTTCTTCCTACATTCCTTAAAGTGTTTCTAATGAGTATGAATTCTCCAATGTTTACCAGACTTTGTGCCAAGAATAAAGATCTTCACACGTTCCTTACATTTGAATGGTTTCACATCAGTATAAATTGATGTTCAATAAGATTGTACAAAATCCTAAAGGCCTTTTCATATTCCTTATATTCAAAGCATTTCTCACTAGTATGAATTTTCTGATATATCAAGAAAACTGTCCACACACAGGTAAGGGTTTTACACATTCGCTACATTTATAAGTTTTCTCAAGAGTAAGATTCTCCTTGTATTGTTCGTACACATAAAAAATGTGTTCACATCTCTTCAATCATAAAGTTTCATCAGTATCAATTGTCTCATTTAAGTTGTCCATATAAAGGCTTCCCCACATTCTTTATATTCATAAGGTTTATCATTACTATGAGTTCTCTCATGTTGAACAAGGTTTGAGCCATTAACAAAGGTCTTCCCAAATTCCTTACATTGATAAGGGTTCTCACCAGCATGAAATCTCTGATGAACAGTAAGTTGATAGCCACTACCAAAGGCCTTCCCACATTGCTTACATTCATAGGACTTCTCACCAGTATGGATTCTCTCATGTTTAACAAGGCTTGAAGCCCAACTAAAGGCCTTCCCACATTCCTTACACTTAAAAGGTTTCTCACCAGTATGGATTTTCTGATGTTGCGTAAGGTGATAGCCACGACTGAAAGCCTTCCCACATTCTTTACATTCATAAGGTTTCTCGCCAGTATGGATTCTCTCATGTTGAACAAGACTTGAGCCACAATTAAAGGTCTTCCCACATTCCTTACATTTATAGGGCTTCTCACCAGTATGAAATATCTGATGTCGAGTAAGTTGATAGCTACTACCAAAGGCCTTCCCACATTCTTTACATTCATAGGACTTCTCACCAGTATGGATTCTCTCATGTTTAACAAGGCTTGAACCCCAGCTAAAAGCCTTCCCACATTCCTTACATTCAAAAGGTTTTTCACCAGTATGGATTTTCTGATGTTGAGTGAGGTGATAGCCACGACTGAAGGCCTTCCCACATTCTCTACATCCATAAGGTTTCTCGCCAGTATGGATTCTCTCATGTTGAATAAGACTTGAGCCACAATTAAAGGTCTTCCCACATTCCTTACATTCATAGGGTTTCTTGCCAGTATGAAATACCTGATGTCGAGTAAGTTGATAGCCCCAACAAAATGCCTTTCCACATACTTTACATTCATAAGGCTTCTTGCCAGTATGAATTTTCTGATGCTGAGTAAGTTGATAACCACGACTGAAGGCCTTCCCACATTCTTTACATTTATAAGGTTTCTCACCTGTATGAATTATCTCATGTTTAGCGAGGCTTGAGCCCCAAAAAAAGGCCTTCCCACATTCCTTACATTTGTAAGATTTCACACCAATATGAATTTTCTGATGTTGAGTGAGGTGGTAGCCACGACTGAAAGCCTTCCCGCATTCTTTACATTCATAGGGTTTCTCGCCAGTATGGATTCTTTCATGTTTAACAAGACTAGATCCCCAACTAAAGGTCTTCCCACATTCCTTACATTCGTAGGGTTTCTCACCAGTATGAAATCTCTGATGCACAGTAAGTTGATAGGCACTAAAAAAGCCCTTCCCACATTCACTACATTCAAAGTGTTTTTCAGTCATATGAGTTCTCTCATGTTGAACAAGTTTTGACCCATGACTACAAGCCTTCCCACATTCCTTACAAATATAGCGTTTCTCTCTATTATGAATTCTTTGATGTGCACTAAAAGATTTGCTTTTTCTGTAAATGGGCATTTTTTCATAGCTAATTATCATTTGACTAAAGTATGCCTCTTGATGTCCCTGTAGTCCCTCCAATTTGCTTTTGCACTTAGAATTATTTTTGAAAATGAATGCCTCAAGGCCAAGAGTTTTACTTCTTTCCGTCCTCTCCCATTGGGAAAAATGTATTTCAAAAATGTCTTTTTCTGAAATTTTATTTTTGGTTGCATATGTTGACTCCAAATCTGAAAGAAAACAAGAAAACCACATATTTTATTTCGTTTACCAGAAAAAAAAATTAAAAAACCCTCAATAGAAATACAAGGCAAATTAGAAATAATACCCATTAAAAAAAAACAAAAGAAAGAAAGAATACCCATAAAAGAACTGGATTATAAGACTTCCTGAGCTCACTCCTAAGCATCAAGTGTCTACCCTGTTGGAACAACAATCTCAGTTTTGACTTTTCAGCTCTTATGTTCTTAATGTTCTGATCTGACAGTTTTCTGGAGGATTCCTCAAAGATCATTTTAACAAGTTCCTTATCTTCCTGTGTGGATGACCCCTTACACAAAATGCCTTTCCATCAAGCAAGCCCTTATGTGCACAGAGGTGGTTCGGCTGAACTTTTTCACAACTATGCAGGTTGGTATCATGAACTGGAATCTAGAAAATCAAGCACACCTGAAACTAATATTATATGTCAACTACACTTAAAAAAATAAAACACTAAGCTACATAATACTCCACAGGAATTTTTCTGAGGGATTGGTGTTGGGATAAAAGCAGACAAAACTACTAAGTTCCAAGGCTCTACTGGAGGTGAAACATGTGAAACAAAACCAACTAAAACTGTAATAGAACGTCCACTTAGCTCAAATCCTGATACAATCAAAGAGATAAGCACATCAGTGGTCATGCAGGAAGTTTAGAGCAAAGAACAATTTTTCAATCTAATTTGAAACCAGAAATAAACTGAAACTAATGAAAGCTATGACCCAGTCCCAGCTCAGCTCTAAGCCTGGGGGGATCTGAGTTATCAGCCCCTCCCCCTAAATAGCTGATTTGAGAAACAGGCAGGGATCTATTCTTTACTGTTCTTCAAAATGTCTGGCACACAATGAAAATTTATGCGGTAGGTGAGGAACAGGGAAAGTGTGACCTAAAATCACACCCCTAGCCCCCCCAAAAAACACAAAAGAGACAAAGAACAGCTCACGTAGATATTAGAATCAGCAGGCAAGGCCATTGAATTATATTTTGATTCTGGAAGAAAAGATAGAGAACAGATGGCAAATTTCAGCAAAGAAACACAAACTCTAAAATTATAAAATGGAAATTCTACAACTAAAAAACCCAAACTGAAGCGCAAAGAGAAAAAGGATGGGGGGAAAAAAATAGAGTCAGACCTGTGCAACAATATTAAACAATCCAACTTCAGACAACAGCAGTTCCAGAAAGAGCCAAATAAGTACTTGAAAAGATTATTGCCATATTCTTAAAATGTATGAAATGTATAAATAAGCAATCTACTTTTTAGCAAACTGCAAGCAGAATAAATACAAAGAAAAGCAACAACTGGGAACATCATAATCAAACAGTTGAAAACTGAAAATAAAGGAAAAATAATAAAAGGAGGCAAAGGGGGGACATTAAAGTTAGAGAACTATAAGAATTGAGGCTGACTTCACATCTGTAACAATGGAAGCTACAAGACAATGGAATGATATCTTTAATGGCTGAAAGAAAGCAAGCTTTCAACCTAAAGTTCTATATAAAGCACAAAGTATTCTTCAAAATGAAGATGAGAGATTTCCAGCCCCAGCCATGAAGAAAAATCTGGTATTAGACTTACTCTCACACTATAAACAGCTCTAAAGCTATAAAGCAGTATACTAGATGGGGCGCCTGGGTGGCTCCGTCGGTTAAGCAACTGACTTCGGCTCGGGTCACGATCTCACGGTTCGTGGGTTCAAGCCCCACGTCGGGCTCTGTGCTGACAGCTCGGGGTCTGGAGCCTGATTCAGATTCCATGTCTCCCTCTCTCTCTGCCCCTCCCCCTCCTCGTGCTCTGTCTCTCAAAAATAAATAAACCTTTAAAAAAATTAAAAACAG